TTGGTCCAGTTCCTGCCCTTAAGTGGATCAAACCACAGACAACTGCCCCAGGAAGTCAGCCTGTTCTGGGAAGAACACCAGAAGGATGACCGATAGGGAGCTCACAGCTTAACCTGCTTGCATTGCAGCTACGTGACCCTGCGCGAATCGTGGCTTCTCTACATCTCCGTTTTCTCCCTGAATGTTAGGTTAACTCTTACGGACCAAGCATTTGATTAGATTAAACAGCTTTTTACAGACAGACTCTTATTTGAGCCCAATAGCCACCTGTGAAGTAGCCAGGCAGCCCTGTTCATATTTTAGGACGAGGACACCTAAGCTTGAGCTTACGGGAGGAAGGCATTTCCTGAAGCCTCATTGCTAGCACCAGACGCAGGTGGGCCTGGGACTCAGATCTCGCGATACCTTCTCCCGCGCTCTGTCCACGCAGTAATACGCGCCCCGCCTCTCTGCCTAGGCGTCGTCAGGACCTGAGCTGAGGGGGTTTTGCAACTGGATGTTGGGATTACAGCAAACTCCTGATCCTTCTCCTCAAGAATCCTCTGTGAACTTCTCTAGGAAGAAAGGACAAGGCATGCAAGCACTCAGCGAGGTGAAGGATATGAAAACATCAGACTGGTTCTACCTGCCTTCTGTGACGCAGCTCACCTTTGCAGCGTGAGAGCAGAGTCCCAGAGGCGCCTCTCAGTGTCCACACATCTGTCAGATTTTCCAGGCCGTTTTCAATCGATTCCTTGGATATCAGGTATGAGACTGGGAAGCATTTTTTCTCCTTTATGGTTATGAAATGTGAACGATGGCCACAGCTGGAGCTTTTAAATCTGATGGGGATGGCTCCCTGGAGAGGCTCTTATAAACGTAAAGGACAGTCAAGAGGGGCGGAGAAGTTGAGAGCAAGAGCAGGCCCTCACCACACTGAATAATCGGGTCCCCCTAATATGTTTCCTCAGTGATCACATAGCACTGTACTAGATGTTCTGAAGAAATAGGAAGAAAATACAGCACTCAGTCTGTATACGCAAGAGCGTTACAGACAAAATGGTAGCAAGAACCCTTAAGAAAATCTGTGAAGCCAGCAACTACAGGAGTATATCCAAACAGGAATACCTGGAGATAGACTCAGAATGAGTTACGGAACTGGTGATGTGGCTGGATTCATTCATGTTTTAAACAGAGGTCTCTTAAAGTGACTGCTTCAAGGTGTCCTTTCAGACCTGGGGCCCACCTCCCTCTTCTCTACACTTTCATCCTTTTTCAAAAAACTTGGAATTCATCCTATCTTTTTAAAAATTGAAATATAGTTGATTTAAATGTGTTTAGTTTCTGGTGTACAGCATTAGTGATTCAGTTATATATATATATATATATATATATATTCTTTTTCATTGTAGGTTATTATAAAATATTGACTGTAGCTCCCTGTGCTAAACAGTAGGACCTTGTTGTTTATCCATTTTATATACAGTGGTTGGTATTGGCAAATCTCAGACTCCTAATTTATCCTCCACCCCATTTCCTCCTTGGTAACCATAAGTTTGTTTTCCATGACTATGAGAATTCATCCTATCTGAATGAAGACTTCCAATGTGTTGAATGAATGCCAGGCGGGTTCTAAATTACTCTAGATGGCCTGAGAAAGAACCACATAGGAACTATGGGATTTTATTCCAAAGGACCAGAACCTCAATTTGTACTGAATTCCTGAGAGTGAGCCCCAGGTTTTAGTTCAGATGATGCAGGCTCGCTCTCTCTGACTCCCAGTCTAGCAGGTTTCGGAATTGGGTGCTCTCCGCAATGAGGTCAGGTCTGCAGGTGTGATGCTGTGGGCAGGGTAGCAGGGTGCTGCTTCTTGGATTCTGCATGAGGGAGAGATCACTGCTGGGAACAGAGGTTTGTATTTCAGTGTGGTCTGTTCAATCCTGGAATTAAAATGCGCATGAGATTGCAAAAGAACCTGGAAATTCCATTGCTGTGCCACAGCCTGGCCCCAATCAAAACATGAGGAAGGTAGCAGGTGATACCAGTTGAGAGATCAAGATTCTAAAAGGTCCAGTGACTTGCCTAAAGTCATAGAGCAGGGTTGTGACAAGAACCCAACCTCCCAATGCCTAATTTAGCACTTTTTAACATTTTTACTAATTTCTTTTTACATGTAGTCTGATCTGTGTAACCCTCCGAGTCTCCCTGGATTGGAATGAAATTGTAGTTTCTGAGTTTTGTTTCATTTTGGTCCTTTTTAAGATTTTCTCGATCATATACATACAGAAAAACACACAAAACAAAAGTTAAGTTTGTTGAATCAGTAGAAAACAAAGACCTCTATAACACTGCCAGCACCCCAGGGGCTTTTTGTGAGCGCTACCCGCTACCCAGGGCGGCTGCCTGGGCGTGAGAGGGGATTCTGTGCTTAGCGGGGCTCCACACTTGGCTGAATGCTCTGCAGTCACTGTTCTGAAATTGTTAGTAACGTATGAACAAGAAACCCTATATTTTCATTTTGCACTGGGCCTGTAAATTACGTATCCGACCAAGCTTCTACCCAATCATGCTCCCTCCCCCAAATGACCATTATCCTATTTTTTTTTCTTTCTTTCTTTTGGGAGAACAATTAGGTTTATTTATTTTGGGTTTTTTTTTTGTTGTTATTCGTTTGTTTTATGAGGGAGAGATAATTTGGTTTATTTATTTATATTTGAAGGAGGTACGGGGGATTGAACCCAGGACCTCATGCATGCTAAGCATGTGCTCTACCACTGAGACATACGCTCCTCCCACCATTTTCCTAATTTTTATGGGACCACTCTTCTCCACAGTTTTATCACCTCAGTATACATATATAAACATTGAGGTTTATTTTACCTGTTTTCAAGTTTTATATAAATGGAATATAGTACAGCATATTATTTTGTGTGTGTGGCTTCTTTCAGTCAACCATGTTGGTGAGTCTCACTCACCTTGTTATTTGTAGCTGTCGTTTGTTCAGTCTCATTGCTGTATAACATTCTGATATATGAATAAAAATCACAATTCTTTATGTATTCTACTTTTGAGGGAAATTTGAGGGTTTCCCCCCCAATTTTGGCTATTATGAATAAGGCTGCTATAAACATTGCTGTGTGGATCTTCATACAAAAGTACACTCACTTCTTTTGGGCACTTAGGATAAACTTGCTAGGTGAGAAAGTATGTTTGCTCAGCTGTAGCAGATAATGCCAAATTTTTTCTGAAGTCGCTGTCTCAATTTACATTCTCTCCAACAGCATAAGAGAAGTTTCTTGCTCTGCATCCTCGTTGACAGTGAGTATTGTCTGTCTTTTAAATTTCAGTCATTCTTCTGGGTACATTAAATCATAGTGATGGCTCATGGTGATTTTAATTTGGACTTCCTTGATCAGTAATAGGGTTGAATATCTTTTCAAAAGTGTGTTGGCCATGTGGATATCCTCAAGTTTTTTTGCTGATTATTTTACTATATTATTTGGAGTCTTTTAATATGCATTTATTATATGAGGTCATTACATGCTCTGGCTGGGAGTCCTTCATCAGAATATGTCCTGCAGAGATCTTCTCCCAGTCTGTGCCTTAAAGACATTGAAACCATGGATCAAATCTGTTTCACCTGCCTTCACTCATCAAGGCAGTTTTAAGATCTGCATGCCTTCCAAGCAGCACTGAGCCTAAGCAACAAGATGTTTTCTCCAGTTATTTTCCAGGAACTTGGAGTCTCAGCTGCGTTTAGTTCAAGCTGAGCTGGTTAATTCTGGATAGGACCACTGACCCTCCAACTGGGCATGCGTGAGCGTCCCCCTGGTGATCTTTTTGATCACGCAGAGGCCTGTAGCTTAGTTACAGCTGCAGGGAATGACAACTACCTTACCTTTTCCCAGTCACCTCTCCCCATACTCCCCACGCTCAGCCGCTCTGCTTCTTTATTGGTTATCCCATAAATACCCACAGCCCTTGCGGCTGGGGAGGCGGGTTTGAGATTTGTTCCTCCTTCTCCTCCCTCGGTTGCCTTCAAATAAGCCCTCTTTTTGCTGCAAACTTCTGTCTCAGCATTTTTGCTTGTGTGCGTCAGGAAAGATGAACCTGGTTCGGTAACAGATTTGGCCAGCCAGCCAGGCAGTAAGTCTAGATGGACCATTTGCTTGTGGTTTGCCAGCCCTTTGCCGGTACTGGGAGCCTGTGGATGAGTCCAAGCAGTTGCCTGGTCTGTTTGTTCCAGGGACCATCCCCAGGAATTCCCCAGCGGGGTGCACTTAGTTTTGTTCTGCATCAAGAGGTGAGTTTTAGGTTTTGGGCTTCGGGCTTTGGAAGACATCTTTGGATGAGTAACGTCAATGAAGAAACATGCCTGTGCCTAGACTGCCTTTGCAGTCCTGATCAGATCGTGGGTTGGAGGCCCACCAGCAGCATTCTGGCAGATGAAATAAAAGGTTACAGCTGCTCAGGTACTCTGTACCTGGGTTAAAGGCCTGGGGCTCTGGCTTTTGGTTTTGTTTGCTTTGGTCTTGTTTGCTGATGTCCATCTACCTCTGATTGTCTTAACTGTCAGGAATTGGCCACTGGGGATATAGCTTCTTGGTGCCTATGGCAAGGACCCTTAGGAACATTTTGTTGCTGTGACCACCAGGAAGCAGAGCCTTTTCAAAGTGGGAAATGTTACTTTTATTCCCCCTTGGAGCCCTCTAGGCTGTGTTCTCCAAAGCTGGGAGGCTTTTAAGTTACAAAAATCATGGAAAAGAAAAAGTCAGTATATATATTTATTTTTAAACACTGTATGGCCACAATATCATTTAGACTCTGGACCAAAATGGCCTAAAATGGATCCTGAAATTACAGTATAATTTTGCTACTAGATTTACTTTGTAAATGAGAAGAAAAATGGGACAAAATCTTATGTACGGTCTTTTATGTTATTACAAAAATCTGTCTTGCTTGATTCTAATGAAAAGGAGGATGAGTTGCTGTTAATTGAGTCCAACACTTCAACGGCTCCTCCTTCACTGCCCGGTGCCTGAGCCACAGCCTCAGGCTTGGTCTCCCTCCCCCATCCCCAAGTCTCTGAGGACCGAGAAACAGGAATGGTCTCCCCCCTCATACCTGCCAGGGCACTCGATCCGGGCAGGGAGCTACTCAAACGCAGGCAGGGCAATATCCATTAAGGGAAGTCGCACACACTGGGGGTCTGAATGCTGGGACTGGGCAGCCCATGGGGTTGATCAGGGTCCACAGCCCTTCTTAGACTTCAGATTTACTTAACTGGAAGACCAGTATGCCACCTTAGAGAGATGGCCCATAGAGAAGGGAAAGCCTTTTTTCATGAATTTTCGCAACCCACAACCTAACCTGAACAGATGTTCAGAGTTTACTAAATTCACACGGAACCCCCCGGCAGCTTGGTAGAGGCTGCTGTTGTAAATGCAACTGTACCACCAGCAGATCCTGACTGCGATGCAGTCCTGGGATGGGCCAGACTTAAACATAATCGTGAGTGCACTCTGACGAGATTGCGAAGGGGGAGGCCAAAATAAAGAAGGCTCAATAAATACAGGAGGTAAAACAGACACCACCTGAGGGTCCTTCAGCATGTCTAGGAAGGGTCTTTAAAGCCTATAAGCCGTATGCAGATGGAGACCCTGCGGCCCCAGAGAACTTAGAGATGGTTAATGACTTCCACTAGTCAGAGCACCCCTGATATACAGAAGAAACTGCAAAAGGTGGAAGGGGCTTTAAGAGTGCCTCTGTCTTAACTTGTTGAAATTGCCTTCAGAGTTTGCAAGGGCTGGGGCCAGATTTAGGAGAAAAGGGAGCAGCAAGGAATGAAACAACAAGCCTCCTTGTGGGCGGCTTCCTTAGCATGAGGAAGAGCCGGACCAAATCGAGGCCCCCCATGAGGGGCTCAGCATAAGATGAGAAGCCCCAAACTCCCACTTGAATGGGGCACCCAATAGTGGGACCCCACCAATGTGCACACTGTAAACAGGAGGGACCCTGGAAAAGAGACTGTCCCAAGTCAGACTCTTGAAAGTAAACGAGTGGTACATCAGGTGTGTGAGCTGAGAATGACGGTGACCAAGAATGAAGGGTCCCAGGGGTTCCTTTAAATGCTGCTGAGTCCTTCAGTAGCTCCCATGCAGGGCCCCAGGTGACTATGACAGTGGGAAATCAATTCTCAGATTTCCTGGGCCGTATGGGGGCACTTACTTGGTTTTAAATACCTGGCTTTCTTAACCTTGTTCTGGGACTATGTTAGTACCTGGGGTGTCTGGAGAAACCTGGAAAAAGCCTTTTCTGCAGACACTAGACTGTCAGATGAGGAAAACCCATCTAAGGTATAGCTCTCTACACGATGCTCCATTCCCTTTCCGGATGAGATTTACTAACTAAATGAAATGCCAAGGTTGCCTTTGCAGCTGGACAAATGGACATTAAAGTACCACCAGAGGAACCCCGCCCATTGCAGGCTCTAGTGCTTCAATCCCCAGAAGAGCAGCCTGCATCCATTCCAGAAGAGATGCTGTGAAGGTAAATCCGGAGGTATGGGCAGATGGGAGGCGGGGAACAGCAAAGTGGGCTATGCCTGCACCGGTTAGGTGCTGTCTTAGGATGGTTTCTAAATGGCTTAAGAGCAATTATTCAAACTGTAGAAAAGATACTTACCTAGTAGTCCCTAACCCATACACTCTGCTTGCTACTCTGTCCGAAGATTTTTTTTTTGAGGTTACTTTTTACTTTTATTTGCCAGTGTAACTTAACTACAGTGGCTTGCAAACTCTTTTGACCTAAAAAATACATTTTATATCACAATCCAACAAACAAACACGTATATATGTATATAACTGAAACCAAAGTTTTGCCAAAGATGCCTACCCTGAGTTTTCTTATTTTTAAGACTTTTTTGGGAGCAGTTTTAGGTTTACAATAAGATTTCCCATATACCCCCTCTCCACACATATGCACAGTCAGATTTTTGTTTACCATATTGGATTTGAAGGATGTCCTTTTGGTAAAACCTTGAGTTTTGAATCCCAAGAGTTGTTTGCTTTCAGATGTGAAGACTGAGATACAGCTTAAACAGTACCGTTGAATAGTACTTCCTCAGGGATTTACATTTCAATTAAAAAAAAAAAAAGCTGCCCCACAATACTTGGAGAAATCCTGGCAAAAGATTTGAGGGACCCTCTGTGGAGAAAAGAGAACCCTCCTACACTGTTGGTAGGAATGTAATTTGGTGCAGTCACTATGGAACGGTATGGAGAGTCCTTAAACTAAAAAACTAAAAACAGACTTATACGATCCAGCAATTCCACTCCTGGGCATATATCTAGAGGAAACTCTTCATGTGAAAAAACACATGCACCCCAGTGTTCATAGTAGCACTATTTACAATAGCCAAGACATGGAAACAACCTAAGCTGTTTCCATCAACAGCTGACCGGGTAAAGAACTGTGGTATATATGTACACAATGAAATACTACTTAGATATAAAAAAGAATGAAATAATGCCAGTTTTCAGCAACATGGACAGGCCTAGAGATTATCCTACTAAGTGAAGTCAGAGAAAGACAAATATCAAATGATATATATCATTTATATATGGAATCTGTAAAATTGGCACAAATGAACTGATTCACAAAACAGACTCATAGACATAGAGAACTCATAGTTACCAGGGAGGAAGTAGGGGAAGGGATGAATTAAAAGTCTGGGATTTGGGATTTTCAGATAGTACTACACATAAAATAGGAAGACAACAAGGTCTTACTGTTCAGCACAGGGAACTATATTGAATACCTTGTAATAACCTATAATGATAAAGAATATGAAAAAGAACGTATATAACTGAATCATTGTGCTGTACACCAGAAACTAATACAACATTGTAAATCAACTATACTTTAATAAAAAAAAGTCCTGAGGGACCCTCAGCCAAATGAGGGAGCCTTGATCAGTATGTAGATAGTACACTGATGACCAGTAAAACATAGGACACCTCAGGCCAAAATATAGTTTGACTTCGAACTTTTGGCTGAACGAGGCTATGAGGTGTCCAAGAAGAAGGCACTGCTATTTCAGCCCTCAGTTAATATTTGGGTTTTGAGCTCTGACAGAGGCTAGTTCCCTGGCAGATGGCAAGCTCTAATCAGGTTGCTGTTCACACTACCAAGAGGAAATTATGGGGGAGTCTTGGGGATGGCTGGGCTCTGCTGGATTTGGATCCCCAATGTTGGACTTAAAACCCCTTTCAGAATCTCTTAAAGCAGGAGACAGTGAACCTCTAGAATGAAGTCTTGAAAGGATAAACATCGAGAAGGCCAGCTCCATCCTCGCTGGACCGAACTTATAAGAACATGATGGAAAACGGAAACCATGCTGCAGAAAAACTGCAACCAAGATCATCCAAATCTTGGCTGGTCCCAGAACCCCAACACCGACTTGTCCAAGTGGGCAAATGAACCCCTTCCTAACAGATCTTAGGTTGCTTTTCAGAACGAAGCCATGAGAAAGAAGCTAAGTTGAATGGGATTGCTGCAGTGTTTGCTTCGGTGAAGTAAAATTCATCAGAAGGCAATTGAGATAACTTGCTAGGCTACCAGAAAGATTGTTTTCTTATGTTATGCTTTGTTTCTAACTTCCCAGGGTTGGATGGACATCTCGTTAATGAGGATTTCTTAAATTTTGGCAAAAGCAGGTAATCTCTCTAGCTGCGGGATATGTCATGCAAAACCTTTTTCTGTATTTGATCATGCTGACCCCTTGATTGTGCCTGTCATTAACTTTTCAACTGCTCCTTACTTCCATGTGTCTTCAGATGTAACAACAGGAATTTCCTATTGCCTGATTTTTTTCCCTCACTAAGTAGAAATTGTGTTCTCTGAGTGTCCTCAGATGGAACAGAATAATCCTGGTGTCTACCCCCATCAAGGTTTAGCTTGGTCAGGATATTATAGAAACTGTGCTTGGGCTGGGAAAACTATGTCCCTTCCATATTTAATCTCTTAGTGTTTCAGCCAAACATAGCGATCGAGACACTGCAATGTGTAAACAGGTAAAACGCTGATCCTCACTTGACAGTGTCAAGTTTAACAATATGTCCTGCATTCTGTGTGCTCCCTCAGGGTACGTCTTTGTTTGCGGTTTCGATTACCAATCTTGGGCCTGTGAATCCCCTGATCACTGGCACAAAGGTGGTGTTTGTTTCTTGGGATCGAAATGTTAACTTGAAAGCGGGAACAAGAGAATATTCTCAAATAAGTGCTAAACAGTTCCGTTCCTCAAGTCCTGCTAGGTCTATGCCCCTCCATCCAGAGCGGTCACTCCTTTTCCCTTAAGACTGAGGAATGATCAAAATATAGGGGGTACCAAAATCGTGGGTCAAATCCATTTCACATGCCTTCACTAATCAAGGTAGTTTTCAGACTTGCGTGTCCTCCAAGCAACGCGTAGCCTAAACAGTAAGCTGTTTGCTTGAGTGATTTTCCAGGAACTTGGAGTGTGAGTTGCGCCTAGTTCAAGCTGAGCTGGTTAATTCTGGATAGGACCAACCACCCTCCCACTGGGCATGCGTGAGTGTCCACTTAATGACCTTTTGAATGTGCAGGGGCTTGGAGCGTAGTTAGGACTGGGCAGAATGACCACTGTTGCACCTTTTTCTAATCACTTTTCCCCATGCCTCAGACATCCCTGCTTCCTTATTCGTTACCCCATAAGGACCCTGAGCCACTTGCCTTCAGGGAGGTGGGTCTGAGGTTTGCTCTCCTGTTCCCTTGTTTGGGTGCCTTGGAAACGAACCCTCCTTGCTGGAAACCTCTGTGTCTCAGAGTTTCAGCTTGCTGTCAGTGAGGAGAGATGAACGTGGTCCTGATGAACAGAAGCACTTTGTTTTAATGTAGGAAAGTTATCAGTCTTCCTGGTTGGTAATTTTGTGTGTGTGTGTGCGCTGTTTAAAAATCTTTCCCTTTTGCCCAAATCAGGAAGACAGACTTCTAAAAACTCGACTGCTTTCCTTTCACATTTAGAGCTACAAAACACCTGCAATTGATACGTGTGTGTAACATGAGCAAGAGTTCAAGTTCTTTCTCCTACGTAAATACAGCACTGTCTCGGCACCCTTTATTGCGAATATCCTTTTCCACTTCTTTGAGTGCTAACTGTGTCACAGATCATGTGTCCATATATGGGTCTGTTTGGGGGCTCTATTCTACTTTTGTTTATCCTTGCACCAGTACCACACTGCTATAATATCTATAGTTTGAAAATTTTATATCTGAGGACACTTTTTAACCTCTTTTCAAAAGCGTCTTGGCTGTTTTCTTGACACTTGACATTCAACATATTAGAATCAGCTTGGCAAGTTTCACTGTGAGACCTATTGGGATTTCAAGCGGAATTGCTTGAAATCTGTTAATCAGTTATGGGCAAATTAACAACCTAAAGCAGTCACTGCATAAATAGTTTTCTCTACTTGTTTATATCTTTACTCAAAATAATGATCATCATCTCTGTAGAGACTGAACAAATATTTTGCTAGATTTGATCCTTGGTGCTTGGTATTTTGTTACACTGTTGTAAACGGTGTCTTTTTAAAGAGTTGTGTATTTATCAGCAACAAATTTTGTTTAAAATATATTTATCTTGCATCCAACAGCTTTAATGTGCTCATTCTAATTTGTCTATAGATTATTTTGGTTTATATATGTACATTATATATATAAATTTTATTTCTTCCACTCTAATATCTACAGTTTTCACATTTTAATTTTCTTACATTATTGCACTGCTTCTGTTCATCACTCAGAATAAACATGATTAGAGATTATTCTCAGTCTCAAAGGGGAAAGCTTTCAACATTTTACCACTAAGTGTGTTTGCTTAGATTTTTAAAAATAGATCTTTATTAGATTTAGGAAGTCCTACTGTATTCTACTTAGTTTTTTTATTTTTGAAGTATAGTCGATTTACAATGTTGCATTAATTTCTGATGTACAGCATGGTGATTCAGTTATATACATACTCCTTCTCATATTCTTTTTCATTATAGGCTATTACAAGATTTTGAATATAGTTCCCTGTGCTATACAGTAGGACCTTGTTGTTTATCTATTTTATATATAGTAGTTAGTATCTGCAAATCGTAAACTCCCAATTTATCCCTTCTCCTACCCATTCCCCCTGGTAACCATAAGTTTGTTTTCTATGTCTGAGCCTGTTTGTTTTGTAAATAAGTTTATTTGTGCCATTTAAAAATATATTCCACATATAAGTGATATACGGTATTCTTTTCCTGGGTTACTTTACTTAATACGACAGTCTCTGGGTCCATCCATGTTGCTACGAATGGCATTATTTTATTCTTTTTATGGCTGAGAAGTATCCCATTGTGTGTATATATACCACAACTTCTTTATCCAGTCATTTGTCAATGGACATTTAGGTTGCTTCCATGTCTTAACTATTTTAAACAGTGTTGCTATGAACATTGGGGTGCATGAATCTTTTGGAACTAGTTTCCTCCAGATGTATGCCCATGCATAGGACTGCTGGATTGTATGGTAAGTCTATATTTAGTTTTTTAAGGAATTTCCATATTGCTTTCCATAATGGCTGCACTAAAATACATTCTCTACTTTGGTAAGAGTTTTTAAATTTGGATTTCATCAAATGCTTTTGGGGAATATCAATTGAGATGGTTATTATTCCCCTTTATTCTGTTCCTGTGGTGGAATAAATTGCTTGATTTTCTTTCCCCCTCCAGTATTAAATAATCTTAGCATTCCTAGAATAAACCCAATTTAGTCATGGTATATTTTTATGTATTAGGTGGATCCTGGTTGCTAAAATTGTTCAGGATTTTTAGTTCAAAGGTTATGCCTGAACATCACCTGTAATTTTCCTTTATATGCCTTTATTAGATTTGAGTATCAAGTTTACTTTGTCATTATTTTGCGTTTTGCCTTTATTAATTGAGGTACCGCTGATTTACACTATGTACAAATTTCAGGTATGCAACATAGTGACTCACGATTTTTAAAAATTACTCCATTGATAGTTATTACAAACTTTGGCTGTATTCCCTGTGTGGTACATCCTTGTAGCTTATATACATAGTTTGTCCCTCTTAACCCCTTATCTGCTCCTTCTTCCCCTCTCCCCGTTGGTAAACACTAGTTTCCTATATCTGAGTCTTTCTTTTTTAACACTGACATAGATTCCACACAAGTAATGTCTTTCTGTCTGACTCATTTCACTTAGCATGTTCTCTGCGTCAACTCACATTGCTGCAAATGGCAGTATTTTTCTTTTTTATGGTTGAGCAGTGTTCCATTGTGTGTGTATGTATACCACACCTTTATCTAGTCATCTGTTGTTGGACACTTAGGTTGCTTCCATGTCTTAGCTACTGTAAATAGTGCTGCTATGGACACTGGGGTGAATGTACTGATTTGAATTAGTGTTTGTATTCTTTGGATATATACCAAGGAGTGGAATGGCTGGATCATATGGTGATTTTATTATTAGATTTTTGAGGGGTCGCCATACTGTTTTCCACAGTGGCTGCACCAGTTTATATTCCCACCAGTGTATAAGGGTTCCCTTTTCTCCACATCCTCACCAGTTTGTTACTTGTGTTCTTTTTGATGGTAGCCATTCTGACAGGTGTGAGGTGATAGCTCATCGTGGCCTTTTTAACTGAAGTATAATTGATTTACAATCATTGTGGTTTTGATTTGCATTTCTCTGATTAGTGATGTGGAGCATCTTTTCATGTGTCTGTTGGCCATCTGTATGTCTTCTTTTGAAAAACGTCTATTCAGATCTCCTGCCCATTTTTTTTCATGTTGCTTTTTTGATGTTGGGTTGTATGAGCTGTTGATAAATTTTGGAATTTACCCCTTATAGATTGTTATGACACTTGAAAATAATTTCTCCCATTCAGTGTGTTGTCTTTTCATTTTCTCAGTGGTTTCCTTTGCTGTGCAAAAGCTCTTAAGTTTAATTAGGTCCTATTTGGTGTGTTTTGCTTTTGTTTCCTCTGCCTTAGGCAGATGCAAAAAGATGTTGCTATGATTTATGTCAGACTGTTCCGCCTGTGCTCGCTTCAAGAAGTTTGATGGTTTCCAATCTCTAAGACTTTAATCCGTTTTGAGTTTATTTTTGTATATGCTTTGAGGGAATGTTCTAATGTAATTTTTCTACATGTGGCTGTCCAGCACCACTTACTGAAGAAACTGTCTTTTCTCCACTGTATATTCCTGCCTCCTTTGTTGTAGATTAACTGACCATAAGTGCATGGCTTTATTTCTGGACTGTCTGCTCTGTTCCACTGCTCTGTGTGCCTTTGTGCCAATACCACAGTTTTGATTACAGTAGCTTTGCAGTATAGTCTGAAGTGGGGGAGCATGATACATCCAGCTCTGTTCTTCCACCTCACAATTGTTTTGGCTATTTGGGGGGTCTTTTGTGTTTCCATGCAAATTTTAGGGTTGCTCTAGTTCTGTGAAAAATACCATTGCTATCCTGATATTTTGATAAGGATTACACTGACTCTGTAGATTGCTTTGGGTAGTATGGTCACTTTAACTACATTAATTCTTGTAATCCATGAACACAGTATCTTTTCATTTGTTCAAAGATGACACAGTTTCTTTCATCAGTGTCTTAGTTTTCTGAGAACAGGTCTTTTACTTCCTTAGGCTTATTCCTAAGCATTTTATTCTTCTTGATTCAATGGTAAATGGGATTGTTTTTGTAAACTCTTCTGATTGATCATTGTTAGTGTATAGGTATGCAACAGATTTCTCTACATTTCGTATCCTGCAACTTTACCAAATTCATCGAGATCTAGAAGATTTTTGGTGGTGTCTGGAGAATTTGCTCTGTATAGTAGTACGTCACCTGCAAACAGTGGCAGGTTTACTTCTTCCTTTCCAATTTGGATTATTTTTCTTGACTGATTACTGTGGCTAGAACTTTGGATACCAAATTGAGTAAACGTGTCAAGAGTGGGCATTCTTGTCTTTTTTCTGATCCTAGAGAAATGCTTTTCACTGTTGAGTATGATGTTAGCTATGGGCTGGTCATACACGACTTCTGTTGTGTTGAGGTACATTCTCTCTATGCCCACTTAATGGAGAGTTTTTTTTTTATCATAAATAGATGTTGAATTTTATCAAAAGCTTCTTCATCTATTGAGATCATATGGCTTTGATTCAGTTTGTTAAATGGCATATCACACTGACTTAGAAGACACTAACCATCCTTGCATCCCTGGAAAAAAAGATCCCACTTGATTATGGTGTATCTTTTTAATTGTTGTATCTTGCTTGCTAACATTTTAAGGATTTTTGCATCTATGTTAATCAGTGATATTGGCCTGTAATTTTTTTTGTATATGTTTGTCTGCTTTTGGTATCAGGGTGATGCTGGCCTCATAGAATGAATTTGGAAGTATTCCTTCCTCTGCAATGTTTTGGAATAGTTAGAGAAGAGTAGGTGTTAACTCTTCTCGTGAATGTTTGGTAGAATTCACCTAGGAAGCCATCCAGTCCTGGACTTCTGTTTGGGAGTTTTAAAATTACTGATTCAGATACTCTGCTGGTCATTGATCTGTTTGTATTTTCTGTTTCTACCTGGTTCACTCCTGGGAGATTTTATGTTTCTAGGAATTTGTCCATTTCTTCTAGGCTGTCTGATTGTATTGGCATATAGTTTTTCCTAGTTATCTCTTATAATCCTTTGTGTTTCTGGGGTGTGAGTTGTAACTTTTCCTTCAAGATTTTATTGATTTGGGGCCCTCTTTTTTCTTAATGCCTCTAGCTAACTGTTTATCAATGTTGTCGTCTTTACCAAGAACCAAATCTTAGGTTCACGAATCTTTTCTATTTTTTAGTCTCTATATTCTTGATTTCTACTCTGATCTTTAGGATTTCCTTGTAACTTTGCTTGGTTTTTTTTGTTGTTGTTTCTAGTTCTTTTAGGTATGATAAAGGCGGTCTGAAATTTTTCTTGTTTCCTGAGGTAAGCCTGTATCGCTATAAACTCCCCCCTTAGAACCACTTTTGCTGCGTCCCGTAGATTTTTGGGTCACTGTGTGTGTTTCCTTTTGTCTCCAGGTATTCATCTTTGACTTCTTCAGTGACCCATTGCGTAGCAGCATACTGTTTAACTACATGTGTTTGTGTTTTGCGGTATTTTCCCCTTGTAGTTGATTTCTAGTCTAACAGCCTCCTGGCCAGAAAGGATTAAAGTGCTCCTATGTTGGGTGCATATATATTTACAGTTGTTACATCTTGGATTTATCCCTTGATCATTACATAATGTCTTTCTTTGTCTCTTGTCCTGTGTTTAACAGTCTGTGTCTTAAAGTCTGTTTTGTCTGATGCAGGTATCGCTACCCTGGCTTTCTCTGGATTTCCATTAGCATGGAATACCTTCTCCCATCCCCTCACCGTTTTTAAAGCTGAAAGGAGTCTTTTGTAGGAAGCATATATACAGGTCTTGTTCCTATATCCATTGAGCCATTCTGTCTTTTGATTAGAGCATTTAGTCCATTTACATTTAAAGTCCATTTACATTTAAAGTAATATGTTTTTATTGCCATTTTGTTAATTGTCTTGGTGGTGTTTTTGGTAGTGTTTCTGTTCCTTTCTTCTCTTCCCTTGTGATTTGATGACTCTCGAGTGTTATGTTTAGATTTCTTTCTCTTTTGTGTTTATCTAGTGTAAATTTTTGGTTTGTGGTTACCATGAGGTTTATATAAAGTCCTCTCTGCATACGTGATGTAAGTTGCTGATCTCTTAATTTTAATTTTAACAACCCTGCATTTGTACTCTCTTCATGATTACTGTTTTTGACATCATAGTTTACATTTAATTGTTCGACATAGCCCTTAACTGCTTACTGTGGATATAGATAATTTTACTACTTTATTTTAATCTTCCTATTAACTTTTATGCTTGTTGGATTTTCTACCTTCACTGTGGATTTGCCTTCACTGATTTTCCTTTTGTGATTCTCATGTTTTTAGTTATGGCCTCTTTTTTGCTTAGAAATCTGTTTAACTTTTTTCACAAAGCTGGTTTAGTGACATTGAACTTGGCTTTTGCTTGTCTGGGAAACTGCTCATCTCTTTATCAAATCTGTTTGTTTTGGGGGGGAGGAGAGGTAATTAGGTTTGTTTGTTTGTTTGTTTATTTATTTATTTATTTTAATGGAGGTACTGGGGATTGAACCCAGGACCTTGTGCATGCTAAGCACATGCTCTACCACGTTATCCAATCTAAATGAGAGCCTTGCCATGTAGAGTATTGTTGGTTGTAGGTTTATCTTTATCATCACTAAATATATCATGCCACTCCCTCCTGGCCTGTAGAATTTCAGCTAAAAAGTCATCTGATAGCCTTATGGGAGTTCCCCTGTATGTAACTTGTTTGTTTTCCTTTGATGCTTTTAATATTCTCTCTCTCTTTGGTTTTTGCCGCTTAAATGAGTGTGTCTTGGTGTCGTCCTCTTTGGATTAATCTAGTCTAGATTCTCTATGCTTCCTAGACCTGGATGTTTGTTTGCTTTCCCAGGTTTGGGAAGTATTCAGCTATTAGGTCTTCAAATATATTCTATCCCTGTCCACTCTCTCTTCTTCCAGGACCCTGCAAATGTAAGTATGCCTGATGTCCCAGAGGCTCGTAAACTGTCCTAAGTTCTTTTCTTTCTGTTCAGCATCAGTGGTTCCATTGCTGTCTTCCGGCTTACTGAAACAAAGGAATGCATCATTTAGTCTGTTAGTACCTTCTAGCATCTTTGTCATTTCAGTTACCCTTCATCTGTTCGTTTCTTTATATTTCCCAACTCTCGGTTTAAAAAATTCTAACATCTTGATCTGTTCATCTAGTCTTCTCCTGAGTTCTTCAATAATCTTTCTTCTTCTGGGGGTTCCTCTTGTTTATTTGTAACGTGTTCCCGTTACTTCATTTTGCCTAAATTTCTGTTTCTGTTTCTAGTATCTGGTAGGTTGGTTACATTTCCCAACCTTGCAGAAGTGGCCTTTGTAGGAGATGACCCATGGGTCCCAGCAGCACTCTGTCCTCTCGTCACCAGAGCTCTGTGCTCTAGGGCTGCCCCCTGTGTGGGCTGCTTGGGTCCTTCTGCTGCGGCGGGCTGGTGACTGTGGGTACTTTGGTAGTCTTGGTTGGCCCCCTGGTCTCGTTGATTGCCAAGACTTAAATTTTGCATAGGCTACTGGCCACTGGCTGGCAGGGCTAGGTCACAAAGTGGCTGGCTGCAGCTCCCCACAGGTGCTGGGGCTACTGCCTGGCCACGGGCAAGCAGAACTGAGTCCTAGGGTATGGCCATAGGGCTCGGGGGACCCAGAGCTGCTGTTAGACTGCTGGTGGGTGGGGCTGACTGCTGACACAGCTGGCTGTGGAGTCCAGGATGTCCTGAAGCTTGTGTTGGCCTGCTGGTGGTTGGTCCCTGGGCTGGTGCAGGCTTGCTGGTGGATGGGCTGGGTCTACAGACTAGGGGGCTACCATTTCCTGGGGCTGGGCCCCTTCCCTGGTGTCTACAGGCCCTTGGGAAGGGGCGAGACTGGGTTCTGAGGCTAACAAGCTAGAGGGAGGATTCCACAGTGGTGCTTGCTAGCACCAGTGTCCATGTGGTGGAACAACCTCCCCAAAATGACCACCACCAGTGTCTGTGTCCCCAGGGGGAGCTCCAGTTGTCCCCTGCCTCTCTGGGAGACTCTGAAAGATCACAAGGTAGATCTGATCCAGATTCATTTCAGATTTCTCCTGCTTGCCTGGGTCCCTAAACATGTGAGATTTTTGTGTGCACCCTTTGAGAATGGAGTCTATTTCCTTTAGCCCTCTAGGACTCCCAGAGTAAGCTCCAGTGGCCTTCAGAGCCAAGCATTTTGGGGGCTTGTCTTCCTGATGCAGGACCCCTGGGGCTGAGGAGCTCGATGTGGGGCTCAGACCCCTCACTGCTTGGGGAAGGCCTCCGCCACTGTCCTTTTCCTTTTTGTGGTCCATCCACCCGAGTGTATAGGACTGGGCTGTACTGTGATTTGGCCCTTCCTACCTGTCTCGTTTTGGCTCCTTCTTCATATCTTTATAGATCTTTTCTAGTATGTTCTGGTCTTTTTCATGGAGGTTGTTCTGTAAACAGTTGTAATTGTGGTGTGCCCACGAGCAGAGGTGAGCTCAGGGTCTTGGCCAGCTGATCTGTCATCTTTTTTTTTTTTAATTCTCTGGAAGATTGGTGTTCTTTTCCCTAAATTAGTTTTGCTAGTGAAAGCTTTGTGTTTGGACTTCTAATTATGTTCAGTTTCTTTAATAAAAAAATTCAGATACTCTATTCTTAGTTTTTGGTTAATTGGATATTAAATTTTCCATTTTACTTATGTTTTAAGACATATTGGTATACAGTTTTTCAATAATTCTCTTACCTTCTACAGCATATGTATTAATATCCTGTGTCCCTACTTTCATTATTTTTTTAACATTTATTGATTTATAATCATTTTACAATGTTGTCAAATTCCAGTGTTCAGCACAATTTTTGTTATACATGAACATTTATATATTCATTGTCACATTTTCTCTGTGAGCTACCATAAGATCTTGTGTATATTTCCCTGT